TAACAAAATCTTAATAAAATTTATTAATAATAACAAGAAATATTTAAAATATTAAAGATAAATTCAACTGAAAGATTTAAAAAACAGTATTAACTAAATAAATACATAATTTAGAAAAAGAAAAACTTTTTTAGACTACAATTTAGTCTTTCAACAATACATTGTTTTAGTAAATTAAAGAAGCAAAGCAACATTTAAATAGGGAATGACCATTTTTGAATACCGATGCAATACAAGTTTTATAAAATTGCAACAATTTATTAGTATTTGCGATTAGTATTGTTGTAATTGGGAGGCAAGTCCTGAAAAGACAGAGAAGAAATTTATATAAAAAAATTAAGAAAAAAATAATAATAGATAAACAAACCTCATAAGCTGGCGGCATATCGTTAGGACCAGGTCTATTTTGACGTTGATTTTCAGTAGTATTATAAGCACTTGCTAAGGCCTCAGCTTCTTTAGAATCTATGGTATACAAAATATTATTAAATATAAAAATAAACAATAATAAAAAAAATTATACAAAAAAATATTTAAAATAACACAAAAAATGCTTACATTTAAATATATTTAAATGATGATGGTTCTTTAAAATATTATAAAAATATATATATGGGAAGTTTTAGGTTTCACTACATTGAGATTCGTTAACTGGGTAATTGAGAAAATTATATGGGTATAATAACTGGCACAAACATAAAGCCAGTTTGATAAGGATAATAATATTGATAATAAACAGTACTGCCTGCAAAATTAAAATTGGTTTTTATTTAGAATTCTTTTTATTCTTAAAAATATTAAACAACAATTGCAGCAAAGCTCGGCTTTTGTTTTATATTCTTTCATTGTTTTAAACTGATAACTTTGCCAATTGTTTTAAAAATATACCTTTAGTAACAATTGTATTTGTGTTTAAATAAGTTTGAGTTATTACAAATCTTTATTTTTCTTCTTTAATAATCTGTAAATTAAAAAAAAGGTGGAAAGGAAATACAAAAGAAAATTATTAGAATTGAAAATTTCAATTTTAAATTAGTTTCATTTGGTTAAAATATTATTTACAATGGTAGTGCCAATTTGTAGTGCTAACTAGTGTTGTTTACTTTATAAAAGTTATTAAATTCGTATAAAATTTACAAGAAAATCAATTAATTTTAAAAAATATTTTGAGGTTAGAATGAAATTTTGTTAATAACTAAAAAAATATGAAAATATTTTATACATCTTTAATAAGTTATTACAAACTATAGAATTCTTTAAAAAATATCAAGAAAATTAGGTTTTTGCAAAAATAATTTTTGAGGTTAGAATGAAATTTTGCCAATAACTTGAAAAATCCGATAGATAATAAGAAAATATTTTATACATAAAGTTTAAGTTGTTGAAAACTTTGAAATTCTTTTAAAATTTCTAAGAAAATAAGGTTTTTCGTAAATTAATTTTTAAGGTTAGAATGAATTTTTGTGAATAACTAAAAAAATCTGGTGAAAAATAAGAAAATATTTCATTTGTTTGTTTAAAATTGTTCAAAACTTTGTAATTTCTTTATAATTTCTTGAAAAATATGTTTTTTTGAAAAATAATTTTTGAGGTTAGAATGATTTTTTGTTAATAACTAGGAAAATCTTGTAAAAAATACGAAAAAATTTTATACAACTTTAATAATTTATAGAAAACCATAAAATTGCTTACAACTTTCAAAGAAAATTTGCTTTTTTGAAAAATTATTTTTGAGGTTAGAATGAAATTTTGTTAATAACTTGTTTGTTAATAACTACAAAAATCATGTAAAAAATACGAAAAAATCTTATACAAAATTAAAAAAATTTATAAAAAACTTTTAAATTATTTAAAAATTTCAAAGAAAATACGATTTTTTTGCAAAAAAAAAAAAATTGAGGTTAGAATGAAATTTTGTTAATAACTTGAAAGTTTTAACAAATAATAAGAAAATATTTTATACATATGGTTTAAGTTGTTGAAAACTTTTAAATTGCTTTAAAATTTCTAAGAAAAAAAGGTTTTTTTGCAAAAAAATGTTTGAGGTTAGAATGAATTTTTGTTAATAACTACAAAAATCATGTAAAAAATACGAAAAAATCTTATACAACCTAAAAAATTTATAAAAAACTTTTAAATTATTTAAAAATTTCAAAGAAAATACGATTTTTTTCAAAAAAAATTTTGAGGTTAGAATGAAATTTTGTTAAGAACTTGAAAATTTTAACAAATAATAAGAAAATATTTTATGCATATGGTTTAAGTTGTTGAAAACTTTTAAATTGCTTTAAAATTTCTAAGAAAAAAAAAAGGATTTTCGCCAAAAAATGTTTGAGGTTAGAATGAATTTTTGTTAACAATTACAAAAATCATGTAAAAAATACGAAAACATTTTATACATCTTAAATAATTTATTGAAAACTATTAAATTCTTTAAAAATTTCAAAGAAAATTAACTTTTTGCAAAAATGATTTTTGAGGTTAGAATGAAATTTTGTTAATAGCCTAAAAAGTGCAAATTTTAAATAATTTCTACAATTAACCATTAAATCTCTTATCCAGCCTTAAACAATTAATAAAAAGCAAATTTATTAAAACAACTAAATGAAATGATAAATTTTGTTTAAAATATGATGAAAACATAAATAACAAGAAAACAAATAGAGCAAAATATAATTAAAACTTACTGGCTGGAGGTGCAGTGAAACCCATGGCACCAGCTGGTGGTGGAGGACCGCCAGCAGCTGGTGGATAAGGAGGAAAACCACCACCATATTGTTGGGGTTGTGGAGGATATGGTGGATAGCCACCTCCTTGTGGAGGATACATGGGATATGGTGGATAAGGTTGTGATGGTGCTCCATATGGGGGCGGTTGTGGATACCCACCTCCCCAGCCGCCAGCATGAGCTGCTGCAGGGGCTGATGATTGTTGACTTTGTTGTTGGCGTTGTTGTTGACGTTCCTCCTCATCGGGTGGTGGCAATGAGAAGCCATTCCAAGAGGGCATTTCTTCCTGTTGTTGAGACGATGTATTATTTGAGCCATTGCGTTGTTGATTTTGATTTTGTTGTTGCTGTTGTTGTTGTGATGGTTGTTGAGGCATGCCAAAACCATTCCAATCCTGAGCTGGTGGATTGTATGGTTGTGGATTGTAAGGTTGTGGATTGTATGGTTGTTGCTGTTGCGGATTATAGGGATGTGTTGGTACCGATGGATAAATTCCCTGGGGTGGTTGTGGATTATAAGCTGGTGGTGCTATATAGAAAATAAATATTTAATGTAGACAAATTCGTCCGATTTATTAAAACACAATTGTTTGTTGAGAGTAAACAATATATAGAAGATATAACTGAGAAAAAACTAAAATATTGTTTATTTTCATTTGATTTTAGAAACAAAAGCCGAGTTTTCTTCTTAAACTTTCACATAAAACTGTTGAAATCAAGAGTAAATTTAATATTAAATTCTACTACTTACGTCCTCCAATGCCTGGATAAGGTGGTGGATTATCACTCATAAACACCGTATTGGGTGCTGGTCCACTAAAGGCATCATGTTGGGGCAACCAACCGTAATAGCCTGGTGGTGGCTGATAGGCTGGTGGTGGTGCCTCATGCCAATTACCCGAAGGTGTATATGGTGGTGGATCATCATAGCCGCCTCCACCATTATGATAATTGCTTTGAGCCGTCTTAGCCGCACGCAACAAAGCCATACCGTACTCAATAGCACCGCCCGATTTAAAATAGAGCTTAAATTTAACTTCACCAATGAAGTTACCATTAGGCTGGGCACGTACTTTACCCTTTATGTAGTTGGCTCCGAAGACAGGTTGTTCAAGCTCAACCTAAATAAAAATAATAAGAAATAATGAAATGCAAAGGGGGATAAATCAATAAAAGAATATTTGTGCAAGAGAAAGCTCTTAAATCTATTTTGAAATATTGATTTATTGAAAAAATTTTTAAGAAAAGGACACTTTTAAATAAAAAACATGTAAACATATTTCACTGGAATATAATTAAGACATATAAAAAGAACTTACATCATTCATAGCAATAAAAGGTGCACTAAATGACTGCATCTCATCGCCCGATTTCTTATTGTTAAAAATCAAGCGATGGGAAGTTAAATAGATACGACCCTGCTTCGAGCCACGAAATATAGGATTGTCCTGACCTGAAAAATCCATCGAAACATTGTCGCTATGGAGTAAGATGCTAAAAAAACAAAGAGTATAAATTCCCCATTAGAAATTCCACGAAAAACACAAGTAAATATATAATAGATTCACTGGCATATAATTTTTCAAAAAAGTCATTGTATTAAAATGGCAAACAATTAGCGAAACTTTTATTTGTTTTGTTTTTTTTTTTTCAAGCCACACAACCATAAATACTCTCATTTGTACACACATACTGTACATATAAATGGCTGAATTTCATCATTAATCTTGGGTCATTTAAATCTACTTACTATTCTCCAGCATGTATTAAAACGCCATTATTGGCGTGGGCTGTATTAACAGACATTTTCTCGAAGAGATTTTTGGAATTTTCTTAATTAATTAACACTTTTTTTGTCTTTTGTGACTGCTTAGTTGGAGGAAAAAATTATTCTGATAAGATTATTTTTCTCGAAATGTCAAAACAAATGATTCACTTTTGTTTGAAGAAATCATGGCGATCAATATTTTTTCAACGGCGTCCGAAAGGGTATAATAAAGACGTTTTACAGTCGACTTTAGCCAAAATTAACAGATATGTACATTTTCTGCAATAAGGGTTATGGGGATATGATCAATTATGGGTCTTATTTATCAAAATCCTGCATTTTAAATAACTCGGATACCATTATTTTTCGATATCGGTAAAAGAAATAAAAAAGTTAAAAACTTTAACGGCTTACAGATGATTTTAAGCTGCCACTGAAATATTTAGTGTCAGCTGCCAACGTCGTTGTTAATGTTTGTCGCCGCCGATCTCTGGTAGATCTTTGTAATAAAAAATACGGGCGTTTCTAATCATTATTGTGTTGAAAATTATAAAAATCCTTAAGAAAAATAAAATATATTTATTGCAACTAATTCAAAATGTGTTAAATACTAGGCTGCATTAAAGTTTTATGAAAAATGGCTTTTAATTACACTAATTTAGGCCATCAAGGCTTAGAAAATATGAGTAAGTTTTTTTCGCACTGTTTTCGGCAATGTGAAAATTTGTTTTATTTTGTGGCAAAGAAAATTGTTATTCATGAAATTAAAAGTTGTGTATTATAAAATTTAATAAGTAAATTTTAGTTTGAAGTTGTTTAATTGCTAAAATTTTGTTCATTTGTACAGCAATTTGTGGTTTTGTGTTGAAGAAATGTATACGACGCCATTTTTTTTCTTATTTTTTTATATTTTCTTTTATACTGAAAAATTATCATAACATCTTTTGTGTTCTGTATTTTATGTGTGTTTTTGTTTTGTTAAGTTGTTTCTAAACAAGTGGCTTTAAACAGCTGTGTTTTATTTTGATTGTCGATTCTTTTTGATTTCTCTTTATTGTTGTTTTATTTTGGGGAAATAATGTAATGTTGCCAGATTTGAAATATGTTCATAATTCCTAAAAATATGACAAAAATCTTTTCTATGTATTTTTAAATAAATTAATTATATATTTTTTTATTTATAGTGCCCTTTTTTAATACTCTGGCTAATGGAGCCTCCATGCCACCACATGCCAACTTTATGAGTCATTTAGCCGCCACTATGAATAACACACCTACAACACATGCCTCTGCTACACTGCACAATACTTTGCCAACTACACCAGCAACAGCATCAACAAGTAATTTCAATGCTACAAAAACAGCAACAAAAACATCAAGACGTAATCCAGAGCCGCCGCCACCACCTCGCTTAAGATCTCCAAGTCCAACACGTAATCATGTTAAACCAAATCAAGGTACTGCGCCAATGGATTTGGAAAATGATTTGGAAAACGACACGCCCACAGTAGTTGCTACAACTACAAACACAGTGGGAGCACAAAGTGATTCTACACCCAAATTAAACACAGATAAAATGCCATTAAATATGCCAGATTCTAGTTTATATTTAAATGGTCTAATGGCCGGTCAAATGTGTGCAAATCCAGGATTTATGTTTTTTCCTCCAAATCCTGCAGCGGGCACTGCAGCTGCCAACAGCTTGATGGATCCAGCCACTATGATGGCGGCAATGCAACAAATGCAACAATATGGAGCCTATGCTAATGGAGCTTTAGGCGATCCCTCGAACACATTGGATCCCAGTAAAATGGCTCACACAACTATTGCAGGTGAAAACCAACTTAAAAGCAAAACATGTAACATAACCTCTAAAAAAAATTGTTTTACAGAAAATTTTAACGGTTCTCCAGTGGCCAGCAAGGAAGTTATAAAAACTAAAAGCTGCATGCTTTTGCCTCCCAATCCAAATGCTCCACCACCCACTATACGTGACAGGCCTCCTGGTTGTCGTACTGTTTTCGTGGGTGGCCTGCCGGACATTATCACCGAGGAAATAGTACGCGAAATATTCGAGAGTTGTGGAGAAATCTCTACATTACGCATGTCCAAGAAAAACTTTTGCCATATACGTTTTCGCCATGAAGAGTCCATTGATCGTGCCATTTATTTTAGCGGTTATCGCGTGCGTCTCAACAATACAAACGATCAAGCCAGTTTTGGACGTCTGCACATTGATTACGCCCAAGCCAGAGATGACCAATACGACTATGAATGCAAACAGAGACAATTGCAACGTGAACAGCGACACCGCGAACGCATGTCTTTGGATCGTTTACGTTCTCAATCTCCCCCTCCCATACCACACTATACCGATCATGAGGCCTCCATGGTGGCCGAAAGTTTGCGAAATAATGACACTTTTGTTAAGGCTGTACAGACTATAACAATTTGGTTGGAACGTGGTGATTGCACCAAACGTAATGCTAATGTTTTCTATTCAATGATACAAAGTACTCATGCTCATGTCAGACGTTTGACGGGTGATAAACAACAATTGGAGGAGGATTTGCGTAAAGCTCGAGAAAGTTTTCGCAAACAAATGTTGACCATGACTGCTCAGTGTAAGTTTATTTATCGTAGTTAATTTCTTTAATTTAGAATCTAAAATGTTTTTTGGTTATTGATGTTTGTTACACGGTATGTTTGTATGAGATGTGAGTTGATAGTGTGTGGTTTTTGAGCGTGATTGTGTGTGAGTGTGTGTTGGGATAATTTTAGCGTAGATCATATGACAACAGTGTTGGATGAAGAGTGGATTTTAATAGTTTGAAAATATGACACAATTTTTTGGGGTTTCTTGGAGGATTTTTCAATAATAGGATAATAACCTACTTGGTAGAGCTGTTTTGTTAGTAGGCAACCTTCATTAGAAACTGCTAACTAACTTGCTTGGATAAACATCTAATCCGACCAGACCCATATAGTTTCTTACATCATACATATCAGAGTAACTTCGTACCCGATTTTGTTCCAAATTCGATACTAATTCTTTTAGAGGCCCCTTTTGGTTCGTCACCAACTTGGTCACCAACTAGACCTGGTTAATTAGGATTTCTGATCTCAAGAATGGAAAGAACTCTATCAGAAACAAAGTTACAACAGTTAGGGTTAAATGTATAAATCCATTATTAGGGCCATTCCTATAAATGCAATGTCTGGTGGGAGGGTATTACAAGTACTGTACAAGTATCAAGTATCTCCTATTAAGCTATGATTCTAATAAAATATTCTACCTTCGCAAGATAATCACACAAATCATTTGTACGATGTAGGTCTATTTTATTAGGTTGACTTTTCTGATGAAATTTCAGATCATAGAATAGCCCCTTAAAACTTCGGGGTTGTACTTAAAATAGAATTTCCACCTAACGATTGGCTTGGATCCGATATGTTGTTCGGTGGCTACTGGAACGTTTGGCGAATATTGGCGACTTTTTGATACAGATATAAAGTGATCTTTAAGAAGTGGAGGTCTTAGCGACTGATATAACACAGCCTGCTTGGCTGCACCAAGAGCATTCTTGACTAGTTATAGAATTGTTAATAGGAGACAGATTTTAATAAGGCTGTGTTGGCTACCTGTACAATTTAATGCACAGAGCAATATGGATGCGGTGCATTAGAATCTTGACCTGAATGAGCAGGAGGGAAAAAGCCTGAAGGATTACGAGACATCAATCAAATCAATCATTGCATTTTATCAGGTGTCAACATCGGCGACATAAACGCCAAAATCACTCAATACTTGGCCACCATCACAGACTTTTTCAGGAACGCAAACTCAAGTTATCTGCTTTAAAATCCTTGGTATCAGATTTAACATCTTAGACGAAAGAAGTAATGACGGCGCTTAATATCTCCGACGAAGATCGAATTATTCCCACAGTTCAAAACGTGAAAATATTAAGGGTAGTCTTTGACAGCTTCCTTTACTTTGCACGGCACGCAAATTACATCAATCAAAAGGTTCTCAATAGAAATAAGGTCCTTAAAGCATTAGCTGGTGCAGACTATTGTTGCGACATATGAGGCAATGACCCTCTTTCTTAAGTGTTACCCAATGGCGAGGTTTACACGCGGCCCAGAATAATCGAAACTGGATGCGTCAAGATGACGTCAGACAACATAATGTAGACTATCTAGTCATTCCAACCATCAGATTCTGATGGAAGATCAGATTGGCTTCCGACATACAAGTCGTCATACTATCCGGTGTCGATAGACTGTCAATTTCAAGCTGCCGGGAAATATTGCAGCAAATGTCGATCACTGAAGTCATTAACGGCTACAGATACAACAGAGTCCCAAATGAATACCCACTGCGATCTCGGATTATTAGAGACAATTATCCAGGCAGTCATTCAACAACCATCTTAGCCTAACTAAGTGCTTGTTAGTGAAGTTTCCTCAACTCCTACCGTGAACGAACTGTTCCTGGCACTTTAAAACGTTGCCCTGCCTGACATCGATTGGAGACTGTAGTAAGCGTTCTGATGACTTATACTGTTTTGAATCCAGTCTAGTTCCAGTCCTTTCTAATTTTCTTTTTTTCTTGAATATTCTCTAATCTTAATTCTTAACTTTGAATGAAAGAAATAACAATGGACCTTAAGGTTCTTCGAGTGGAGATGTATCTGAACATACCATCATCTTAACCGAACGCGATAACTTTCAGAAGGTCCTCCCAGTCAAGGAACATAATGTCATGCTGACCGCCTATAGCAGAAATAGAAAAGAACCTGCCGCGGAAAACAAGAGTTGCTCTGGCCCACCTGTTACTGGGACGCATAGACAGTGTCACCCCCAATATATGCCCAGCATGTGGACAGGGATCCCATGATGCCCACCACAAATTCAACTGTTCAGCCCACCCTACTTTACAAAGCCCAATGGATTTATGGACTAATCCTGTAGAAGTAGCCCAATTTCTTGGCTTGGACCTAAATATAGAACCCCCGGATTTAAAATTATATAGTTTAAGATGTTACAACAACAACTTTCAGTAACATCACGATTAGGATCGATAGTTTGATCAGTAGTGATAATAGTTTAACCGAACCCAATATCTTTCGGCATTTTCAAGATGATAAAAATTCTTAAAGAGAACACTACCATGGGGTTCCTGTGTAACATATTCCAATAGAAAAGATATATTGAACAAACCAAAATCGCCTCTATGGGGTGTTTAATATAACAA